CTGCAGAACGGGCTACGGCAGCAGCAATCAAGGATGGTATCCGTGAGAGCATCAAACAAGATACGCACGAGTCACAGTGGGCCGAAGTACTGTATCAGCACGTCGAAGCAAAGGGTGGAGAGAAGACAGAGACGGGTAGCAGACCAGAGACAGGGCTCGGTGCACGTGGTAACTTTGCCACGGCCAAAGGAACGGAAGTGGATGGGGCAACCTGTGTCGTGTGGGGAGGCGTGCATGCCGGCAAGGTATTGGGTGATGGATGGATGGTGACGGTCGACAGATAGTACCTATGGCAGCATGTCAAGCACCAGAGAACAAGCTGCAAGCAACGGGAGGCTGGGGACTGTGTTGAGCCAGTGAAGTGCCCAAGATGGCAGACGCCGTAGTGGCCCGCAGAAAACATGCTGCCACACAATCCTTCCAATATCACAAGCGGCGCACTGACGTCGGAGCATGCTGCATGCCACAGGGGTGCCCAGGTGGCTTCCAAGGTTGCTGAGATGTGGGCGCGCCCAAAGCGGACTTGGACTTGAGGTTCCACGATGCGGGCGGGAAGCTTGCAGCGAGCGACACGAGAAGCTTAAGGTTATCCGTAGTTATCGCGATCCGCATCAGACCGAGGCCGACCACGACCACGCCAGCCAACACCACGGCTGACCAACCTGTCCACGTCCCGCCGACAAGCTGTCATGAACCGCCCAGCACCAAAGCGTCATCGAAAGGGACATGAGCCATACTCTACGAGCACGAGAACTGCCTGGGGCCAGGGGCAGCTGGCGAGATTGCCGTGGGGTTGGCGGTGCCTGTCTCCCGCTTGCAGGCAGAGCCTTCATGCCTTTGAAAGTTTGGGCCCTCGAGACTGCGCTATGCGAACCGGTCCAAAAGTAGCCCTGCGGTCCACCCTTCATGACACGCCCGTGGTGCGCATAAGCAGTCCTCGTCGGCTGCTTGACACGGACAAGCACTTTCCAAGAGCCAAGCAAGCCTCCAAGGCGCTCCTCGGCAACAGTCGCCAGTGTCCTGACTTGGGTACCTAGCTATGTACCTGGGTCGCTTCCGTCAACAGTGAACACGAACAACACGCCAGCCGTCGGGTGGGCGGGCCAAGGGGGGACCAGTTCTGGCTGCCGGTCAAGCCATGCTCGACAGGAATCTCGACCGCTGGCCGACGTCGCACTTGTCACCCTTTACCATGCGCTTTGAGGGTAGCACCGCCGCCTTGGCGATGAATCGGTTGCGGAGCTAAAACAACCGCATCTGCATGGAGCGGCCCATTCCTGTGTGGATGACGAGGTTGCCGATCAGCCGTGTCACCAGTGCTACTGAGAGGCGTCAATCCACCACTGTTTCGACCGCTCCGACCGCCACATCGCGGTGCGTTTAGACGGCGTCGATCACGCGGCAAAAAAGTCATGTCTACACCAAGCTACCACGCATGACTATTTCGAAGTGTCATGCAAATGGCTTGCTTCATCTGTTGCGGTTACGTGCCACTTTGGTGGGCTATATCAGCAAAACCCGATGAATGTCTGCATAGAGTACTCCTGGCACACATGGTGGAGACCTTGGCGTCTTTGCAGCCCATTGCTGCATGACACCATGCCGTCACAAGCGAAGACAGCGCAACGGTTCCAGAGCTGTGAATATCCACCTCTAGGGGCCCGCGGAACGTAGTTTATTCCGCAGCAAAGCTTCAATGCGCCATCAATTCACTAGTCGCGTCAACTTTAGCACACGCCTTGCAGGGGTCGCTAACTGGTCGTCGATCGGCGCTCTTCCATAAGATTGAGGCTACATCCAGATCATGGTACACTTCTCTCCATCTTCTCCGTGACGAAGTCTCAACACATCCGCCTTCCTTGCGGCAGTCCTTCGTTTCCCAGTCCTTCAGTGTGTCGTCAGTTTTGACAACCACTATCCACTCGCTCATAGTCCACTCTTCATTTCAAACTCGGCATTATTCCAGTAATAAAACTCAACTTGCACCTTTCAACATGCACTGTACTACGGCTTTCACTGCCGTCGCAGTACTCACACCCCTCGTCCACGCCCATGGTATTGCTCTGCCAAGAATCGTGGGATTGAGCCCACGGGACCTGAAGGCGAGGGACTTGCTCGGCAGTCTCGGGGCACGATTTGCGGACACCAACGAGTTTGTCAAGTCGCCAGAAAACAGACTAAAGGCTCGTCAGGATGACCGTCAATGTGGAGCTGGTGTTGGTTCATGTGCGGCGGGCCAGTGCTGCTCTGGAGCAGGCTGTGAGTCAACGTACCGAGCTACACATGAGTTGCAGCTAACTATTTTATAGACTGTGGCACCGGTGACGACTACTGCTACTCCCCAGGATGCGACTATGCGCATGGCCCGGCTTGCCCGGAGAATATAACGCCTGGTGGCACGAACACCTCCACTGTCGCCCGTACCAAGGTTGGATCTGTTCAGTATGGCGGAAATGGCATCTACAACTGTGTCACACCTGGTACTGTTGCGATCACCTACGATGACGGTCCGCAGAAGGTGCTCACTTCCCACATCTTGGATGTTCTGGACTCCTACGGTGCCAAAGCTACCTTCTTCATCACTGGCAATAATATTAATAAGGGCCAAATCGATATCACCCCAGAGTTTGTTGCTGACATCCAGCGCATGGACTCAGAGGGTCATCAAATTGCTTCTCATACATGGACCCATTTGGACCTGAGTGCCATTTCTCAGATTGACCGCAAGAACCAGATGTGGAAGAATGAGATGGCTCTGCGTAACATCATCGGCAAGGTGAATAATTTTTACTCTTATCTGCGACAATGCGAGTGGATGTGAAACTGACATATTGCAGATCCCAACCTACATGCGACCACCTTACTCTAGCTGTACCGGCCAGTGTGAGACTGACATGGCCGATCTCGGTTACCACGTTACGTACTTTGATGTTGACACCGACGACTATGAGCACGACTCCCCGACCCTGATTCAGAGCTCTAAGGACTGGTTCAAGGGCAACATCACCAAGAACGGTGCAACTCCGGCGAAGAACCAGTGGCTCGAGATTGGTCACGATATCCATGAACAGACTGCGAACAACCTAACCGACTTCATGCTCTCTACCCTCACCCAGTTGGGCTACAGGGGCGTCACCGTCGGCGACTGCCTTGGTGACCCCAAGGCTAACTGGTACCGTAGTGCTGGAGGTGCTGGTACAGCCACTCCGGCTACTTCTACTGGATCCACCCGCGCTTCAACGGCCCCTGCCTCTACTGGAACTCACAAGGTCAGCGCTGATGCCACGTGTGGTGGAATCAACCAATACACTTGCCTGGGAAGTTCCTTCGGCAACTGCTGTTCTGTTGCTGGCTACTGTGGAACCACTGCCGACTACTGCGGTACTGGATGTCAACCCGGCTTTGGGAATTGCGGTTCCAACGGTGCGGTTAGCTCTGCTGCCGCTGCCTCGTCCACTCGGGCTGCCACCTCCACAGTGAGGTCTTCTTCTGCCGCCGCCTCTCCATCTGCTGCGACTGGTAAGGTATCCACCGACGCAACTTGCTCTGGAACCAAAGGCTTCATCTGCCAGGGCTCCGCGTTCGGAAACTGCTGCTCCCAGTTCAACTACTGCGGAAACACTACGGATCACTGCGGAACTGGCTGCCAGACTGGATTCGGCACTTGCACAGGATCGGCTGCGCCTACAACTGCGAAGGCCTCATCTGTTAAGACCTCAACTGTCAAGACATCTGCTCGCGCCAGCTCCACTGCTGCGGTGGCCGCGGCAAAAAAGGTGTCCACTGACGGAAGCTGTGGTGGCAACGGAGACTTTACTTGCGCCACGTCATTGTTCGGGAACTGTTGCTCCCAGTACGGATACTGCGGATCTGCTGCAAGCTACTGCAGCAAGGCTTCGGGTTGCCAAGCAGGTTTCGGATCGTGCACTGCGTAGATTTGGGATTGATTGTACACATTTTCAAACGTACTAGTCACAGACATGCTGTCGTCGCGCCATGAACATATGGTTGGAGCGATGTCAAGCCACCAACTTGAGTCTTCAGTGGGCATGTCCAGCCTAATAAATGTGTTTACATTAGCCAGCCATGCAGATACAGTCTCGAGCCCAGGACACGGTATACTCCTAGTAATGTGAATGCGCACACAATTGAACTAAAAGAGGTGTATATCCCAGTGAAAGTATCGATGTAGTCTTAACAGTATTGTGGTAAATGCTATGAGACTAAGCTGGGCCGCATAGGATACTGATCAGGTCTGTCCAACTGTATGGTTGTGATTGCAAACCACGGCTAGGCCCCTGACTGTCACTTCCATGTTCTTGTTTAACTCTAACATGTAGTTCCGAGCTGAGACAACTGCTATTAGGTGGAGCTTTCATTCTTGAGTAAGGTCTGCTACATTAGAGTCGTTACATTTTTCTCATTTTCTATCCTTTAATTGGGTGAAGTAGCTGTAGGTCGTGTGCTGTAGATCTTGTAGGCACATTTTAGATATCTCACCAAGCGCTCAAGAAATACGAGATCTTTGGTAGATCACGGCCCGCTTCAGGGATGATGTACGAACAATAGTGCGTGAAACAGCCTGTGCACCGTAATATGTACATACCTATGTACGGAATACGAGCTCACTCGGCCCGGTAGTGTTTTTGATGTTGAACAACAAGTCGATCGTCGGAGTCTTGTACGTACTTGGTAGGACTTTTTCATGGTCGTCGACCATGAAGTCGTCTAGATTCGACAGTGTTCTATTAATAAAAACATGCATTTTACATAGTGATTGTGTTGTCATTAGACGCAGCCACTTCCATGCAATACTTCAGGGGTTGATTGCTGCTTACACACGGCAAGGCCAGAATAAATGCTCAATATTGAAATCAACCCATTTTCCCAAAGGCCAAATGCGAGACTGGAGTCTTCCGTGGATGTACCCTGAGGAACACCAAAAGCTAAAGGGGGAGGGGTGGGCCGTGTGTGTAGTGTTGGCAAAAATCAAATCGTCTTGCCCTCTGCCCGAATCGAACCTTTGTGAAGTTAGTGTTTGTCTTCTACATCATGCACAGAGCTTTGCTTACGAGCGATCTTATCATAGCATCTGAATACTAGTGATACGCTTTACCACTAAGCCAAGAGGGCGATTTCGAACTGCTCAAATTGAAGAGCCGATGGGTTCGGAAGGATCGATGGGCCGAAAAACTCTGCGATAGATTATAATGTGGATTCTCGAGCCGTGGAAGTCCACTGAGTCGCTCTGTTCCATTGACTCCACCTAGTGCGGTCACCAATTCCTGCGCTGGCATTCGCTTGCCTGATGAGCTGAGAAGGAAGGTCTACTCAGCTCGCTGAAATGTCGTTATAGATAGACCACTGTGGGGTACCGCCAGTATTCTTCAACCCGTTAATAGGCCAGGTATAGGGCTTTGGATCTCGTCCTTGGCTAGCACGTGGCAGGCACCGTCAGTAGACTCGAGGTTGCATGCACACACGCGTACGCCGAGCGTACGAGAGATGGCCTTGGTGTCTGGCCTGGGTCATGTTGATTGACCTGCAATGTGTGCGTCATAGGTCATCCAGCAGGGCACGGGCGAGGCCGCGAGGGACGTGTGGGCGCTGTTCGAGCGCGCATGGCACGGCTGTGGGGAGTGGAGAGGCCGCCGCAATTAGACCGCCAAGGCCGCCGACCACACGATCCGGGATTTGAGCCTCCGGCACGCTGCTGACGGGCGCTTTCCACCGTTGCTTCTTCACCCACGACACCGCCAACACCTGGACAGACCACTACGCCTCTGCACGCCCCCTTGACACAGCTGGGCCCGACGACCTGGCTCTCTACTCGCACCGACACCATCTCCACACGACCATTCATGGGCTCAGCTTCTCCCAACGCGACCACTCTTCCCCTGCCTGCCCAGCTCACCGTGGCTGGCTCCTCGTTCCCCTACAACGCACTGCAGGCGGGACTCAACAAGACGGACGCGTCCTTTGCTTCGCTGGTCCGACAAGTAGGGGAGGCCGGTCCGCCGTGAAAGGCGGACGGTAATATCCACCGACCGGACGCTGGTATTGCATGTGCGCAACTCTGACCACGCTGGCCATTTGCGCTCGACGCTGATGTTGCGTGCTTAGAGACTAGACACAGGCCCAACTGCCAGGGTAGCCGCTCTACACAACAACCACCAAGACGGCCGTTGCCATGGCTGTCTTTACGTTCGACGACAACGATGCGCACCTTCCGCTGCAGGCGCAGTCGACCTGCGAGTCTGCAACAGCCGACAGGCATGGACCGGCAGCCGACATGGCCACTGCCAACATGTCTATCAGTCCGCCCAAAATGCCTCTCCACGTGGGTACCCCGCCCATCAACATTGCTTCTCCCCTGCCCAGGCGCACCATGCAACCCAACTTGGAGCCCAAGCAGCAGGGACAGGACAAATTAGATTTCGATTTGGTCATGAAGAAGGCGCGGAAGAATAAGAAGAAGAAGAAAGGCCTGAGGCCTGGCGCACCGGCCACCAACGTCACGCGCGGCTTCCATACACCTGTCACGTCAGGGGGTGAAGATTCCGACTTTTCAGCGGCTGCGACTCCACGTTTTGGCCCTGTTGTCTCAGGACTGCCCAGTGTCACAAGCAGTCCTGCTCTCAGGCCAGCATCGGGCCCTGGGGGTATCAGCAATCTTAAGGCCCAACTTGAAGCGCTAAACCTCGGACCGCGAACAGACTCGCCTATGAAGGGTCTTCCCATGAGCAGAGTAGCATCGCAACTATCGAGCAACACGAGCATGTCTGGACTGGAGAGCGACAGTGACCGCACAGAGATGGAGAGTTATGAAGTGGACCTTCTAGCCGAAGACTTCAGCATTGATGCGCTGTCCAAGACTTCAACCATGCTCACCAGTGGTGCGGCGCGCAAGATGACAGCCGAGGATTTTGAGCCCCTCATGTGTCTTGGAAAGGGCAGCTACGGTACAGTCCTGCTTGTAAGGCAGCGCGCTACTGGTCGTTTGTTTGCTCAAAAGCAATTCAAGAAAGCCTCCATCACTGTGCATAAGAAACTCATTGAGCAGACTAAAACGGAGCGCAACATCTTGGAGAGCGTGAACCGCCATCCCTTCATTGTGAGCTTCTACTACGCCTTTCAGGACCATGAGAAGCTCTACCTCATTCTCGAATACGCCCAAGGTGGAGAGTTGTTCCACCATCTGGCCGCTGAGCGCATGTTCTCCGAGGACGTAGCTGCTTTTTACATGGCCGAAATGGTCCTCGCATTAGATCATCTCCATCGCACCGTCGGGGTCATCTACCGCGATCTGAAGCCGGAAAATTGTCTACTTGATTCAGAAGGCCACCTCCTCCTGACCGACTTCGGCCTCAGTAAAGTCTCCCTCGACGAAGATAACCCATGTCGTTCCTTCCTCGGCACGATTGAGTACATGGCCCCCGAAGTAGTACAAGGTATTGACTACGGCGCAGCAGTAGACTGGTGGTCACTGGGGGCGCTCGGTGTCGACCTCCTCACAGGCGCACCCCCTTTCACTGGCAACAACAACGCCAAGATCCAAGAGAAGATTGTCAAATCGAAACTCTCATTGCCCTACTACCTCAGCGCCGATGCCAAGGATCTCCTCACTCGCCTCCTACGCAAAGAGTCCAAGAAGCGCCTCGGTTTCAACATGCCCAAAGACTTGCAAACCATGAAGAATCATCGCTTCTTCCGCAAGATCAATTGGAAGGCGCTCGAGGCCAGAGAATTGGAACCACCGATTCAGCCGCTGATTACAGACCCGGAGTTGGCGGAGAACTTTGCGCAGGATTTCACAGATTTACCGTTGAGTCCAGTGTTGACAAAGAAGTTTGATGATGTGTGGAACGATGCGCAGAGTAATCCTTTTGGCGGATTCAGCTTTGTGGCTAGTCAGAGTTTATTGGATAGTGGGGAATGGGGGTACTGAGCAGTAGGGAGGGCAGGTCAGTGTCGTTTTCAGTTCTTGTTTTCACTTTCAGGGCTTGTTGTTTTGTTACAGGTTGTTGGACACATATTGTTCGTGTCAATCTTTACAAATGGTAGCATAATAGATGGTCGACGTCATGGGCGTGGTGCCGAAGATCACGATATAGTGTTTGACATCACGCACAAGATGAGGTGAAGATGGTGTGCAAAGCTTTGTTTTGATCAGTACTCGTGAACTTTGTGTTCCAGACCTTGGCCTCGCGCCAACACCAGCTGCGCCAAACCATGCTCACTAATTATACAGACTGTAAACCAAGTGGGAATCATCAACCTCAAACAGAATAGACAACTAGCCTTCACTAGCCGTGCATGTATACACGCGTGCACGTGCTAGGCTCAGGTGGAGGGGAGAGCAGCGGTGCCCGTCTTCTCGGTGGCGCTGGAAGAGGACGTTGCCTTGGCACAGCCCTCACACGCGCACTTGCCCTCGGGGCAGGGGCACTTGCCAGACTCGGCAGCGCAGTTGCACTGGGTCTTGTCCGAGCCAGGGAGAGTGTGGACGTTTGCTTCCTCAGCCGTAGGCTTGCCACTCTGTTGGGCCTTCTTCTGGTCTGCAAGATGGCGGGCCTCCTGATGAACGTCCATGACAGTCTTGTTGCCCTGGTCATAGAAGGCGCGGAGCTTCTGACCGGTGGGCGTGTTAGCAGCCTTATCGAAGTAGGTGGTCAGGCTGTTGAAAGCGGCATAGGCCTTGTTCGTAACACCGAGCTTCTGGTCGACGGCCTGTGCCTTTTGCGTTGCCTGTGTCTTCTGATCGAAGTTGTTGAGCGCATTCATGAACTTTGTGCTGTAGCCGTTCTGCTTGTCTGCCGCCAGCGCCGACTCGATGGCCTTGTCGGAGATGACGTAGCCATGGGCAAGATACTCGGCGAAGATGCGGGCGCGAGGCTTCTGCTCCTGCTCGATGTGGTGGTCGCCGTCCTTGGCCTCCTCAGCGGAGGCAGACTTTTCGCCGGCAATCTCGTCGAGCGACTTTGCAGAGCTGACCTGGACCGAGTTGGGGCCGAGCTGTGTGTTGTCAAGGAGAAGCGCCGTCTTTGCGGCGGCCGTCTTCTCGAAGGTGACGGAGGCGGACTGCGTGTCGTTGGCGGTGGGCTTTACGCTGAGCGACTGGATCTTGCCGCAGAAGCTGAAGAAGGACTTGATCTCATCCTCGCTGGTCTTGACGCTGATGTTCTCGACGTTGACGGTGGCAGCCATCGTGATGTGGGTAGTGGGGGTGGTGTGAGTTGGGAGTATTTGTGGAGTGGAGGTGGTGGTGGCAGAAGTCGAAGAGCAAGGTCGAGAGGTTCCAAGTGTGTGAAGAGGGTGGTGGTTGCTTGGTCGGGGGTGTGATGCAGGGAGAAAGGAGCAGGAGCAGGTTTACTATTTGTAGCAGTGACGTTTGACTAGGGTAAGGTATGGCCCCGGGGAGGGGTGTCAACATGTGCGGTAACCCCAGTTGGCCGAGGGGCGAAGTCGAGCACGCGATGACGTCGGCGGGGCTGTGCTCGCGTGGCGCACCTTGTACGGTGCAACCAACAGTACATGCAGGTGCCTGCCTAGAGTAGGATGCTCTACCCCATGCGAAGCTTGAAGAGACCGTCTGGGCACTGCCCTCGAACATGTGAAAGCTCCCGCGGCCAGGTGGTCTGAAGGGACATCGCATCTGCCGACCGTGTCGAGCAGAGGCATGTAATAGCATACTGTAGCACCGGTACGGTCCTCTATCAACGGTCGTTTGGACCCTGAGGGCAGGGGCCAGTGCCCTTCCACCTCGGCTGTCTGAGCCAACGTCATAGCTTCGCACTGGCAGCTTTTCACTGCCCATGCATGCTGTAACTGAGCACTAGGAGAGCCGTGATCTGGATAACGCCGCCTAGAACAACAATGGCATCGAACCTGCTCCCCTCCTCAGCGAAAATCACCCGTCAAGGCTTGGGCGGCCTAGCCAGCCGCGCACGCCTCGCATTGCGTGTGCCCCAACGCCGATACATTTCCGCATACGGCTACGAGCAGGCCAAAGCCCTCACCTTCTCAGACTATGGCGACCCTCCAGCCGTGCTCTCCCTTCATAGCCACTCCATATCGCCGCCACACAGCAACCTGATGACCCTGCGTTTCCTTGCCAGCCCCATCAACCCCGC